TAAAATTACATTTTAAATCATTTTTAGAACCATAAAAATTTTGTTTTTCATGTAACAGCAGGTGGCCATGACTCTGTAGGAGAAATTTTAGCATCTTTTTTAAGTGAAAAAACAAATTGATTTGGAAATTCTTGTAAAAATCAGATAATTGATCAGATTTTAATGAAACTTTCAGGACTTATTCACAAATGAATTAAATTATTTCAGAAATGTTATTTTTTGTTTTTAGAAAATCTTGGTAAAAATATATTTTGTTTTACATCTACCACCAACCCCACTTGATTTTTATGAAATTTTGAGAAAATTCATTTTTATAGCACTTAATGTTTATATTAGTTATAAGCACAAATCATCAGAGAATTTAAATCATCAAATTTTTTTTGTCAAACAGGACCACCCCCCAGTTACAAAAAATCTGCTCTGAATCAGAAGATAAAAAATGCAATAAAACAAAGATTTTATTTAATTGGAAATGTTTTTAATAAACATGCCAATTTTTGCAAATATGGACTTCCATATACAGTATTATCAGAAAATAATAGTGATAACTATCATAAATTTAAAAGTTTTGGTGATTTTCTACCACTTCCTCACCAAGCATCTTTATAAGTAAGCCAAAGTACTTAATGTACAATAAAATATTAGATTACTTAGAATATTTTCCCCAATTTTTAAGATTACTGGATAGTTAAAAAAAAAAAGTATATAAAAGGCATTCATGCTGTATTTGTCAAGTAATTTTTACAGTTATGTACCCTTTACTTAAATAAAAATGTCAAACATTAAGCTATTAATAAGTCTGTCAGCACCTTATACAAAGCACCCATCTTCACGTTAAAAAAATGTTTCTTCTGCAATATTTTAAACAAAAAGTAATATTTGTTTTAATTCAGATTAACTAATAAACTTTAAATCAGTTAATCTTCCTTAAAATTTCAGAAAAGTATATTTTATTTCTGAAAGATTTTTTAATAAAGACAATTATGTTGTGTTGACAGATCTGTCAATATGGATGATTTTAGTGATTTCATAAATAAAATCAATTTAAATTTGGTTTGAAATATAGTAAAGTATTTTACTTATTGGAAATAAATTTATTCTATTTCAGAATTGAAACTAAATTAAAGCTTCAAGAAAGATCTTTCATTTTTAAAATGCATTTTAAACTTTAGGTATCAAATTTTGGGGTGGGGGCAGGGTGAAGAAGTACCAGAGAGTTATTAGTATTATTTATCAGAAACTTTGAAAATAGAGAAATCAAAGTTATAAACCATTGTTTCTTTGATTTCTAATGAATGAGTCCTTTGTAATTCAGGTTGGCAAAATCTGTTTGACTCGGCAGTTAATAGTTTACAAGTTGGACTTTGGTAGCAGTCGTGAGTGCGTTTACTTTGGAATTTTGTTGAGGATGTCAATCTGCTGTTTTCTCGGCCCTCAGAAGGCCAGAAAATATCTTAAGCAGACAACTGCTTAACTTCTTCGCATGACAAACTAGGCTGGCTTCTCTGGTGGTTCCTCCTCTTCTTCTGCCTTTTGTAGTGATAGAAAAATAAAAAGATCTCTATTTCAAAAAATAAAAAGGTAGAAAGCTAAAAGTTGTCAAACTATTTTGCTTTGACATAAAGAAATAAAAACAAAAAGATAAGGAAAAAAAATAAAGAAATAAATAAAAGAGGTCAAAAGGTTATCATTCCTAAATGTAGGTGAAGAAAAAGGGATTGTCAAACGAGTCATTTCTGGGAACCAATCAAAATAAAAATAAAAAACAAAACAGGAATGAATTTCTTTGTCTAAAGAAAAATGGCAGCAGATAGTGACAAGCAATCAAAAGGCCAGCCACTGAAAGAATTTCATCCCCTATCCCATTCTCTAAAGCTTCCAACAAAAAAATCTGACACAGAGAGTTGAAAGAATTACTGCTATCAAGAAATACTTACATACATACATACATACACATTTTACAAGGACTCTCTCCTCTCTATTATATGCAAAAGCACTAAGAGACTTTCAACACAGACTTTCTGATAGGGACTTATGAACTCTTTGAATATTGTATGTTTTATTTTAAGTGATGTACAGGCAATATATATCTTTGTATTAATTATCTTTGCATGCATTTTTAAAAGGCTATAAATTGGTGTATATTTAGATTAAGGACATTATCCAAAGATAACCACCTATATCCCTCTTAGACAATAAAGTTAATATAAATCCTAAAAGAGCATAGCATGATTAAAAACGCCAAAGTTGATGAAAACAAAATTTTCGTCTAAATGCTTATGTTACTTTTTAGAGGAGACAAAGTATTTTTTACTTATTTTTTTAAATTTTTCCTTCTTTTTAGAACATTGTAAAATAAAAGACCTGTTTCTCTTTTTAATAGACCTTAAAATCGCGGGATCAATTTGGAAAACTTGCAAAAACTGACAAAGAAACTATTTTTGAACTTATTATAAATACATTTTTTTTGTCATCGCTTTACCCATTAAAAAGAAAACTCTATAATTTCAATTTTTGTTTTTTCGTTTGGAAACAAAATGTTTTTTGTTTTTTTTTATTTTCCAGTGTTACAAAAACTCAATTATTATTTTTTCCTTTTTATTTATTCCTAAACATTTTTTTTATTTAGAAAATGGCAAATTGTTTTTATTTTACATTATGTTGTTAATTCTTCTAAAATTATGGAAAAGCGCGTACCTTAACTAAGTAGATATATATTTACAGATTATTTTGCTTATTACAAACTAATGAGATTTCTAGTCACAATGACTTGATCACGTGGATTGAGTTTCCAGGTTGTTCTTCAAACCTGCAAACATTTTGAAACAGCATCATTTTCATGTTCAGGTATTTTCATCATTTTTTTCGTATGTAATGTTTTTGAAATTTGAGCGTTGTCTTAAAACCCTTGGAAGAGAAAACTAAAAAGTCATTTAGAGATTTTTAAAATGAAAAAGAGATATGGGCTGGTATTTTTCCAGAAAGTAATTTTTATTACATAAAAAAATAAGAATCCATTTATTTTTTTTTTCCGAGAAATTTGACAAAATTTTTTTTTTTTATTTTTTTTTTAGCAAATCTTGACTTTAGAGGGGTTGTTGTTTATATATTTTCTTTTCACTTGTATTTTAGTTTTTTTTAATAGTATTTATATTTCTTTCAACAAACCTATGGTACATAGTTTAAACAAAAAAAAAAAAAATTGTGGGGCTTACTACAGGTCCGATGTCCATTCTGTGCTTCCTATGGAACTCGAAAATCAATAATTTTAGATGTCATAGTCAACGGCAACGTGAAGATCGGCTCTTTTATCTTTAAAACATTTTTTCTACGAAGAAAGTAAGTAAAAGTTTCTTTCAAAATATTTTTTTTAAATAATTAATATTGTACGTATAATTTTTTAAACGAATTTTAAACGAAGAATTTAACTTATTTTTTAAATTTTTTAATGTAATGATGTAAACCAAGTTTTTTAAAAGGGTGAAGGTCAAGAGTTTCTTCTTTTTTTTACATGAAAAAATTTTTTTTAGTTTATCTGGTAAACAGTCTACAAATGTCTAAAAAGTTAATTATTACAAGTTCAAAGTTCATATTCAAAAACAAATGACTTCACAAAAACGAACTTAGATATTGAAACCTTGTTAGCTCTTCTCTTGATTAACGATTTTAATTTTAATATTAATTCATTGTTTTTTTTTAAAGTAGCACTTCGTTATCAACAGTTATAGTTTATTTACTAGTATTTTAAATTCAATAATACACACATTTTTTTAAATGTAAACGAAACAGCAATGTTTCACAAGTCCCAGAACTTGCGTTTAGAGACAACGGTCTATTTCCAACTCTTCAACGTTTAAACGTAGGCAAAATAAATTTAATGAACCATACCCATTTTTGTTGTTGCTGGAATATTGGTTATGTATGGACTTTTATAGACGGGCACTGAAAGCAACCTCGTGGTTTGTGATTTAAACGAAAAATCCTCATGTATAAAAGAAAGACTAAAGAGATAAGTGGGGGTCAAAAGCGAATCTGTTCAATAGGGTGTTGTAAGAACAATATTAAAAAACACATACACAAATTACGCAGCACTTATTCCGATTAACTACGTTACGTAGAACGATTACTTCGCTACTTATGTAAATTTATTTTATTTTTAAAGTTTTAGTTGGCAGATGGCTATAAAAAGGACACTCGATTATTTACGGCTAATTTGTTTAAATAATGCACTGACTATTGTTTGCGTCACGTGAAGATGATTCACTAAAAGTCCCCAAGTAATCGTTGTACATTCTCTAAATATCGGTGCCTTGTAAGTACTGCCATAGAGGATTGCGTAGTGTCCGTCAAAAACTCCAGCTTCGTCTGTTCTGTATGTAAATTTAAAACCGGTTTGTTAACTAACAATATACAGTGGAATGGTCATCAAACAAGAGAACGTGAATTGTGGATCATTAGACGCGAGTTCGAGCCTAGTACACGCCGTACTTGTACAAAAAAAAAATGTTTCGCCAAGTAAATAATAGGGGTAAAAGTAGATTAGCGATAAAAAATACAGTATTTAATTATATATATAAGTAAAATTGGTTATTACGTGGTAATCGAAATAGTTCAGTTATTGTTTTTCTACTGTTTTACTTTTTTTTTAAACTGTAAACAAAGTTTCGCTGAGATAGGACAAAGCATTTACCTCATTGAATTTTCTCAAGATTAAAAATAAATTTAAAATTTGATAAAAAAAAGTAAAGTTAACAGATTTAAAAATGTCCTTAGAAATAACGTTTGAATTATTTCTGTGGTCAGTTTTAATTTTTAAGTTTACAATACATCGAACAAGCACGCGACGCACGCATCTCAAAAATTTAAGTCGATGTCTACTTTAACGATACAGTTGCAACGAAAGCTGACGTTGGAAAGGCAGCAGATACGAATTCTTTCTGTAGGATAAACAAGCAAAGCAACAAAGAAAAACATACATTTTAGTTTATATATTAACTTACGTCGAGGAATGTGAGATGTCCGCCCTCGACTCCATAATGCATCAATGCTGCCCTCTGACGGCAACACGACGAACTAAAAGGCGTTGATCAATGATAGAGTCAAACGGGCAGTCAAAGCAGTCTCAACTTAATGTACAGGGTGGTCCGAATGTCTTGTCACCTCCTCACCAAAATGTAATATTAATAAGAACAATAGAAGAACAAGTAATACAAAACACATTTACTGGATTCAGTTCATTGACTTTCATTGATGCTGTCACACATCGACTAGATCTGTGTGAATAGAATCATTTACGTATCAGCCATCTGGAAATAGAAAATTATTATGTAGGGTGACAAGACTTTCGGACCACCCTATCGGTGGTTGCCAACCTTTTGAATTTCATAAAACACTAAATATATAATTTTAAATTTGGCGGACCACTAATATGAATTTAGAGAAAAAAAGGGAAATACATTTATATAATAATAATCAGTAAACCTTTATTTTATTAATATGAAATGCACCCATTTAAAGGTGACAAAGTTAATGTAATTTAAATTATTTAAATAAACAAATTGAAATTTCATAAGAATTTCCAATTTTTCTGCGGACCATCGAAAATTTTGCACGGACCACCACTTGGCGACTACTGCTTTAAAAATGAATGTATCCACCAAGTTTGTCTTGGTTCTTGGAGAGGCAGATTAATTCGGTTATTATTACATCTCTGTTCCAGCTGACAACTTCGTGGAACTCAATGCCACAATCAAAATATTTATGATAAATGATTGATCAGCCTTATGGTAAAAAAAATACACAGTTAACTTTACTTTTCTTGTAATTAATTTAACCTAATTTGTAACCCTGAAAGTCGCTTAGTTGGAAATCTCACCTCCAAAAAAAATCATCTTGGACTGCACGTGAACCTACCTCGTTTGTATTCTTATTTTCTAGTGGAACGATTATTTTGCTAGATAAAATAGAGACGAGCGAGGAAAAGTTTGGCCGTATCTTTCTTCCCGTTGTCTGTTTTATTTTATTGAAAGCAAAGACCCCAAGCCCATTGTTGTTAGCGGGGGAATGACTGCCCATCCCCCCCAACCCCAGCTATGCGTTCTTTGAAACATAAAGGCTTGATGCTAAAAAGTCAGACTCAACAATTCACTAACTGTCCATGAGAATGGAAGACGGCGAATATGAACACTAGCTGCCATATGTAAGTAGAATTATATGCCATATCCACAATGCCGGATAACCAAATTTGTTTTTAGGGTAAGACAATGGGATAATAAGTTAAAACTTAATGTAATGGAAGGGAAAAATAAAAATAAAATCCCATTCCTATCCCTCGGTAAGTATCTCTTCAGCTGTCAGCTTGGACTCCTTGTCAGCTGCAGCCTTGTGTGTGTGTAGTTAGGTATCTATTAGGTTGTATCAAAAGTATTTTCACTTTTTACAGACCTTTACTCCAAAGCCTATTTCATGTATACATGTGTACGGATGCAAAAAGCGTATATCTTCCTTTGGTTTGAGAGGAAGTCCCGTGACGGCTGCTGTGTGACAAAGTGACGAAAGCAGTCAGTCGTTTAGTTAGCAGCCTGAATTCTAGACGAGCAAGGCTAAACCGGCCTGCACGGGCCAGTTAACAAGGGACAAAACATAAGCCCATAGCACCTCTTCCTTGCTGACAAATATAGAAACTATTTCCGGCTCGCGGTCTTCCTGTTGGGAAATACACATGACTCACCATTTTCCCGCTGGGAAATATGCCCTTACCAGAGACGGAAGAATCCTCCAGTAGCACTAATTCCATTTGTGAATTATTACAACTAAGACCCTATGTCTCTTCGCCATTTTTCCCGTTGCTTGTTGACGACATGTCTTATAGTTTCGCTGTGTGGTACAAGTGCAAATACTTGTATATCATTTTGTGTATAACTTAACAGTATAAAGACTTTTTTCAGAACAAAGCATGTTTGTCATTCCTTTCAGGTATTCTGTTTAGTCCGTGTATTAAGGTGTTACCATATCATGGATTCCGCTGCAATTAGATATTTTTTCTAAGTCACTCTACACGCCGACCGAATGTAAGCGCTAAGAAAACAAAACAAAATAAAAAAGTCGTTTTCTGCGCAGGGGCTCCGCGCATCACATCCGGTCCACAAAAAAAAATCCCCGCGTTAAAATACTAATCACGGACGTTCCCGTCGTAAAAAAAAGATTACCCTGGAGACTACAAGATTTGTTTAAAAGAAAGCCCATCGAAACAACTCACACAGTTAAGTGCCGAAAGGCCACCTGTCGGTATAGAAGTGAGCTGTCGCCGTCACTGCAATTGATCGCTTCTCTTGTCACAACCGTGTTCTCGCCCAAGCTTCACTAATCTCACCGACTCTTCACACGCAGAATGCGGTCAACGGGCCAGCTTCGACAGCGCCAGGCTCCTGACATCAACCATTGTGAATTCAAACACCTCGATGTCATCACCAGCTCCAGGCTTCCCTCGTCGTCACCACTGTGACTCCGTCTCGTTGATGTCACATTCGACCAGAATACAGCAGAAGCATTCTGCTCAACCTATTTCAAGTCACCCCTCGTTGTCACCACCCTAGCCCCGTTTTGTGGATACACATTCAACCAGAATTCAACAGAGACATTCCGTTCGACCCACTCCAGGCCTCCCTCATCATCATAATCGTGACCCTGTTTCGTAGATACTACTACAACCAGAATCCAACAGGAATTCCGATTGGCCCATTCCAGGCCTCCTTCGTCGTCACCACCCTGACCTTGTTCGTTGATGTCTGATTCTACCAGAATCCAACAAAGACCTTCCACTCGATCAACGTTTCGAATCAACACACTACTGTGAACTCGATAGATAACCCACCTTACCAGGCAGTTCTGCTTCAGCATCTCGTTATCACACGACCGCCAACTCATCAACACCCCAGAAAGAGACTGCAGAGAGAAGACAGCCAGAAACCGGCTCTAGTGCGTCGCGTGAAGAACTAAGCGGTCATCTGCTTAAAACATTTCCCGCCTTTTTTTTAGGGCGGAGATACACGGCATATTGGCGCTTCGACATGTTTCCAAAGTAACCATACTCCCTACAGCAGCCAACATGATGAACACTACTGTCAAAGTCTGACTCACAAGCTACAACTACCAAGCCTGACAAACTTTCGCTAACCAGATTTATAAAGGACTCGCTGCAATTGAAGTCGAGTAAATAAACATATATTATTTGTTTATATCTTCGATTTGGTTCCTTTATTCCGAAGTGATCCGCATTTTTCGATAAATATTAAGAAGACCTTCCGGCGCTTTTTCACACTAAGCGACTATTTTGTCGCAGGTGACGTGATGGTTAACAATGCGAAAATAAAACCCGTGAACCGAGTTCAAATTCCGACGTGTTCAGTTCGCAATAATATCCTTGAAAAATACACCCCATCACACACCTAACGCATTACAGTGGAGCTCTCTAGCCTTGGTGGGCTGCCAGTCTAGAAGAACAATTCTTAATTGATAACTAAGGAGAAGACAATGATAACCATTCTATCTTCCCCAAGAACAGTTACGGCAATGAATAATTTACAGATGAGAAAGATATGGAGAGCCATGGTCACCTACGCCCTGCAGAGACTTGTTTTTAAATGTAAAACAAGCAATAGAAATAAAATGAAATATTAAAAAAGATAATAATAATAATAATAATAATAATCTTTACTCCGTAATGAAAGAAGCCAACAAATTCAAAATGGAGTTTCAAATGGGCGTAGAGATGCAACTACAGCACAATACACCGGCTGAAACTGCAAAATACCTAAAAAAAAAAACAAAAAAAAACAGCAAAGACGAATGCAACCGACCAGCTACAGAAGCGATGGCAAGATAAACCGCTTCATGGCCAATACTCTGCCCGTACCAAACAAGCTGACGTAGACAAAACCCGTACCCATCAGTGGCTACGTAGTGCAGGGTTGAAAGCGGAAACTGAAGGTTTTATCCTTGCTGCGCAGGACCAATGCTTGCTAACTAGGAATTATCAAGCACATATACTAAAATATTGTGTTAGCCCAAAATGCAGATTCTGTGATAAATATCCAGAAACGATTGATCATCTTGTATCAGCTTGTACGGTGTTGGCACCCACTGAATATAAAACCCGACAAGACAGAGTGGGCCAATATCTGCACTGGAAAATCTGCAACTTCGTCGGGAAGGAAACTGAAAAAAACTGGTATGAACACCACCCAGACCCGGTTACGGAGATAGGACCTGTTATAATTCTATGGGACTACACAATACACACTGACAGAACAATCAAGGCCAGCCGGCCAGATATTGTTATTAAAGACCACAAACAAAAACGATGCCTCCTTATTGATATGGCAGTCCCTGCTGACTGCAATGTATCTTTGAAGATATTCAAAAAGTTGTCAAAGTACAAAGACCTTGAAATAGAAATCTCGAAAATGTGGCATATGGGAACATCAACAATCCCTGTTGTAGTTGGAGCCCTAGGACTGGTTGGAAAAGATTGTAGTAAACTAATTGAAGGGATTCCTGGAAGTCCATGCCTCAAGGAGATACAAAAATATGTTCTGACAAGTACAGCCCACACCTTACGAAGGGCTTTATCTATGTAATTTAATTCTTTTTTTTTTTTTTCGTCAGTGGAAAATGTCATGACGCCATTTCTAACCTAACGTCCCTGTGCGGGACCCGGAAAGAAATGTGTAAACGCCAGAAATCAAAGAAAATAAAAAAAATAATAATAATGTTCATAGCAATTTCAACATTTTTCGGGAGAACTCAAAGAAGGCTACCGAAAATTATGTGAGTGAAATTCCACATCAGCATCTCAGAGCTATAAAAGATTACTTTGTGCGGAACTGCACATGTCATGCGCAAAACCCCATCCATTTTAACGAAACACCCTAAATGTGCATAAATAACTCACCTACAGCGCCGTTTTTGTTTATAGATCCCGAAGAGAAATTGATAATTAGGCACTTAAAATTATTTCTGTCAAAATGATACCACACACAATAATAATAATAATAATAATAATAATAATAATAATAATACCAGTGCTTCATGTAAAAAAAAAATCAGAAACTTGCGGCTTAGTCTAGCAGGACAATACAAGTACATTCATTTTGCTCTTAACTCTTGTGACCTTGTGCCAGATTTAGCTAAGATGAAAAAATATTCGTAAGCAAATATGGACGCCTGGCATGACGCATTGTAAAACTATCCACTTTATATTTAAAAGCGACAGGAGGCAGTGAATTGGAAAAGTTGAAACCAGACGCTGAATTGAGATTGTGGGATATTTTCTTACCCCTCGCCTATTTTTTTTTTTTTTTTTTAGCCAAAGAATTTCTCATTTAATCGTGTTCAAATAATGATCAACAGTAGATCCTCATTTAATCTTATTTCGTTAAACCATATTTCATCAGAACTGTGAAGAGAAAAAAAAACTGTAAAATCAAAATTATACGATAAACGAGGTACCTCGTGAACATGCCAATAAAGATGAGGACAACAGTCCGAACAATGCAAATAATGTAATTGGAATTGTTTCTTTGGAAAAGTAAAAATCTATTTCCCCTTCCCGGTTATGGATTAAATACTAGGGTAGACTGGGTTCTCTAGCCTTGAGTGAAAGCCAGACTAGGAGAAGGAATACTCAAAATACAAACCCGCTGAAAAGACAACTTGAAACCACTCAATTAACATCAAGAATTCATGGAAACAGTAACTCCGGCCAACAGTTTGTTAAATTCTTCATCATTACTGATAGCATGTAACGTGGGGTGATACTGAATTTCTCGTTGTCTCTGAAGACCTTCTTAGCTGCAAATTGTTCCATGACGGAAGCCAGGGAGACAGGAACACGTGCGGAATGGTTGACTTTACGCAGGAGACGATGGATACGACATACGGAGAATTGAAATCCCTTACAAAATGAACGGATCTTGGTCTTTCGAGTAATTTTACCCACTTTGCTATGTCCAGACATGATGAACGTATATTCTGATATTCTGCATTAGTTTCATCTGGTTAGGTGATATTGTTACTAAGTGAGGACTATATTGACTAATCAAAAATTGAAAAGCTTAATACAAATCATTTTGTACCAAGATTTTTTACATTATTTTTTATGCATATAAAATATTACATAACGTGCCCATTTTTGAAAGTATGGTCGACCATACACGACATAATCAGAAAATAAGAGCGATTACTATAGTAATTTCCTAAAATTAGATTACGGAGAATATTTTCCAACACTTCTGAGAGTACTGAGTACTTAAAAATTATATTAAAAAAAGACACTCACGTCATTTTCTTAAATTCAGCTTTACAGATAAATTCTCCGTAAAACAACAATCATTATGTCAAGACATGTCAACGTCTCATCTATTATATAAAACATGGCGTTATTTTGTTTTAAAAATACATTTCTGTGTTACTTTAAACTTAAAGTAAATAATATGTTTCTCAAAGCAGATTAATTATACTTTAAATCAGCTAATATTCCTCAAATAAACTTTCAGAAAAGAATATTTTATTTTTGCAAGTTTTTTTTTTAATACAGAGAATTTAATTACATTGCGATGAAAGACGACTACAAAAAGGCGCTAAAAAATTGATACCAATCAATATAATTTCTGCTTGAAATACACCAACTTACTGGAAATAGTAAATTTAATCTTTTAGCTTTCAATCACAGCAAAAAAATTAAAGCTTCAAGAAAGCTCTCTCATCTATAAAATTTCTTTTTAGGTATTGAACATTAATGGATCCATTTCAGAGCCTATAAATTATTGAAGACGTTTTTCTCCTTCTATTTCATTATATGTTTTCCTCTTCCGTCTTTTAACAGCAATGAATAATGTTTGTGACTAGTGAAGTTGTGGTTATTGTTATTGTAAAATAAATTGTTAGAAATGCAATTGTAGAATTTAGAAAACAATTAATGTGTTATCTTTTATTTAGTGTAAGATTAATTTTATAAAAAAATGAATTTGTTTTTATTTTAATTTTCTGGCTGACCTGAAGAAGATTGGAGCGATTTCAGTTCAGATCACGTCATCTAGATATGAGATCTTAATGAAAACCAGCAAACACATTGATTTTTGGGACCACGATAGTGAAAAAGTATATTTGTTTCGTTTAAATAAGTTAAATTTAATTTTTATTAGAAAAAGTTTAAATGAAAATTATCTTTTTCAATTTAAATATATTGTAGTTTATATGAATAAATAAAATCGTTTTTATTGAAGTAACCTATTTTGTTGAACAGTTTTACGTACATTTTTCCATTCTTTTTTTTTTGTAAAAAACAGAAAAGAAAATAAACCTATGAAGACATTGAAACGTTAAAACTGCCACTACTGACGTTTAGAAATTTTAATCAAGTCATAAATATGGGCAAAGTAAGTTTGTTATTAAAACTATTTGCTAATCACAAACGGAAAAGCTAAGAATTTTTTAAAAGAATTTTGAATTTTCTTTGCGTGTGTTTGTAAAATTGTCGGTATTTCATTATTATTTAAACGGATAAAAATCTGTAAGTGTTCATTAAATAATGAAGTAATTAATACAACTTTGTCAATGATCATTTCGAAAGAAGTTAGCTGTCTGGTCCATTTAAACTAGGTATGAGCAATAGATCGCCGGAAAATGAGCATAGCAGAATAATAAAGGCCCTAAACTTGATGAAAACAAAATTTTATCGTCAAAATGTTTATTTTTTCATTAAGAGGAAAGAACAAAGTAATTTTTAATTATTTTTCAAAATTTTTCTGTTTTTATTAGAGCATTCTAACTTTTGATTGAAAAATCTCGTTTCTCAGCATCAGTTCTGTTTTTTAACTATCACCTTGATAATTGAAACCTTCAACCCGGCGAGTCAACCTGTAAGCTTTAGGGAAAGGCAGCTTGTATAAATGGATGGTGGAACGGACAACGGGAGGTCTGGTAAAGGGAGAAATGCTGTTAAGAGTTACCAGGTATAGGAGGTTGTGGAGAGACATAATCACCCAAAGAAGAATATACATATTATGCATTGTGGCTTCTGCTAGTTTAAAAAATACTCCTGTATTCTCATTGGTCAGTAAATCTCCCATTTCTGTCACGTGACATTCTCTCTACTACGTCCGCGTAAGCTTAATCTTTGATGTAGTATAAATCGAAATGCACCAGTGTCGAAAACTGTTGATTAATTGACAACAGCAGCATATCAACATGTCTGGATGTGGAAAGGGAGGAAAAGGATTGGAAAAGGGGGGCGCCAAGCGTCATCGCAAGGTGCTCAGAAATAACATCAAGGGTATCACCAAGCCTGCTATCCGCCGTCTGACACGCAGAGGTGGTGTCAAACGAATCTCTGGTCTCATCTACGAGGAGACACGTGGTGTCCTTAAAGTTTTTCTTGAAAAGGTTATCCATGATGCCGTCACCTACACTGAGCACGCCAAGAGAAAAACTATCACCGCCATGGATCTGGTCTATGCCATGAAGAGACAAGGCAGAACTCTCTACGGATTCGGAGGATAAATATGAAAATGTTATCTTAACGGCCCTTTTTAGGGCCACCTATTTTCTACGAACAGTTTATTCAACCACTGCAAGATATGTTCGTTTTTTTTAATTGGCTTCCAATTGAAAATGACCTGATTTCTCTTTTCGTGATAATTAGCTTGCTAACGATTACTTTACGCAAAAAAGGCCCTGTTGTATGCTAATAAATTTTATTTTTCGCTAACCGCCTTTACCTTTAAAAATATCCATCCTATCTTTATTTTAGCCTAGGCAAATGTAAATCTTTTGTTTATTGAATATTTAGAAAATAATTTCTATATCTAACTTGATTGATAATTTGCAAATTTCTGTCTGTTTCTTCGCTTGTAAATTGAAGAAGTTAAACAAAAATTATAAAAAAAAAGCTACGAAAATTTTTGCACAATTTTATTATGTGAGTGAGTCTATTTATTTTATCATCCTGGTTCTATCTTTATCTTTTTTTATTTCTTATAATTTTTAAATCGGAAAATACCCATTTGCCATGGAATGCACCTGATTGATGAGGTGCCTAAACACAAATGTTATGATAAAGAACTTTTATAAAAGAAATTACTTGATACACATTAAGAGAACGACGCTTCTTTCTAATTACATTTAAAATAATTTTATGAATCATTTAATTCTAAATTAATGTCCGACTTTCAAATTATAATTATGTTAATTTCATCACTAAATTAATGTGAGAATATCATTTAACATAAAACTCCAAAAAGCGTAGAGCCATTCTGGATTCTGTTAGTGAGTTTGTTAGTGTATTCAAATATACAGTGTAACCCGGATATAAGATAGATTTTCTCTGGTCCCAAATTAGAGCCTGTGTTAATGTATAGACCAAATCCGGATATAAGAGACTTCTCCGGTCCCGACAACTCTCTTATATCCGGGTTACACTGTATTTGTCTTTTTTATTTACTAGCAGTAGTATATAAATCCATTTAAATCTATTTAAATCCTAATTCTATTTCTGATTGAATTATGTCGTTGCAGGACTTCAAAGACTTTTGTCCGATTTACCATTAATAGTTGTTTCAGCCCCAATGATTTTATTTACACGGGTAACAAAAAGAAATCTTGTGCTTAAAATTCCAAAACTTAACTACCGAAAACAGTATTTACCATACGTTTAGAATATTTGCTAAAAAATGAGCATAAATGATGACACAAACCTAAAGAAAAAGTTTTATCGAAAAAATCTTTTTATTAAGAGGAAAGACAATTATTTTTATTATTAAATTATTAGAAAATCCGCTCTGAATCGCAAAATAAAAAAATGTAAAACCAAGATATTATTTAATTAGAAAATTTTTTAATTGCTTACATGTAAAATATTATGGGCGCTATTGTTTTAAGAAAAAAGTTTTTCGATGAAGAATTAATTTTTACAAGAATTGTTTTCATTTTTTTTTTCAATTAAGGTAATTTACAAACTTTTATTTAAATCTTTTATGTGATATTGTAAGTGAATTAAGACTATGTATCAATCATGGAAAAGCTCACAATTCAACTGCCCTAAAAAGAAGATTTTTGTAAATATGGATGGCCACACGACACTATTAGTAAAGTTAAAATTTATTGGTAAATATCGAACATTTCCTCAACAAGTATCTTATAAGTAATTATAATAAGTAACTTGTAACCTTTGTTATTAATACATATATTTATCGGTCTTGTTTGTTTTCTTCGGACTTTCTCATGTAGTTGGACAGGCTAGCAGGAAAATTCTACCCACATGTGTTTTTCTACAATACATCACCGCCACGGTCCGCTACAACATTAATGCTTGGGAAACAATTTCTTCTTATTGAAACTCTAGCGATTAAGTTCAGTGTCCAATTTTTAAAACCGATACTTTATTAATAATTGGAATGTCTGTCCCATTTTCTACTATATTTGTCTCTTAACTTTGGAAGAGAAATTAACCTTTGATATTGAACGTAACGATAATAAAATGACATTTTCGAAAATTTATCGATCCTCGCGAAACATGAAATAATAATAAGAGATTAATGCTGAAAATAGGACCAAATTAAGAAATTTACGAATAGAAAAATTGCGCCATATCCAATTCGAAGCTGAAAATGCGAGATAAAACGATGCAAAACCTAAATGAAACATTCAACAATATTTTTAATGTAAAAAAAATCCAGCCTTAAATATTTAAAAAAGAAATATAAAAAGCTATTTAAAAAAAAAGGAATATTTCAAAACTCGAAATAGAAGACGATACACTTTTAAAATGAAATCCATAAATGGATATATTTCAATGTAGTTCCTAGTATCCCTTAGACACAACTTTAACTCTTAAGAATGTGTAGACCGTTTACAAAGATAGATTACTGACTTAAAGAATTAAGTGAATGTTTAATTAAATAAAATTAATTCATATGGCTTCATAATCAACAAAATCCTAAAAATGATAGCGTTTAGTTGTTTTTTTATAATTTTAACAACAGCAAACTTTTAAAATTCTCATCGATTATTTGCCTTTGCTTTTAATTTGTTCTGACAACGTTATTTTAATGTTTTATTTTATGTTTATTTGTCTTAATAAATTGATGTATAGTTGTAGTCACTGTTGTTAGCATTCCAATTTATCTCAAATCAACTCATTATCGAGAGGCTAGTGACCTCTTAATCAGATGGATATATCGGAAATTTCGAGTCAACGACTCTAACTTAGATGTACTTTTATGTGTCATAATTTGGAAAAGTTTATTTTTTAATGTCGATTTTCAACATTTAAATGTTTATTTTTGGTTCTCACGTTGAGAGACGCGAGGTGCGTTGAAGGAAATTACTTAAACTGTAAACACTGATTTTTGAAATTGTATATTTTACGTCCAGCGATCAAACTTGATTTATACATGCGTGACACAGTCCAATTTTTAAAATACAGGCGTCTACACGATATTGTCAGAAAATAAGAGAGGTACTTATAATAAATTTTTAAATGTAAGATTTTTTTAGTAATTTTCTAACATTTCAACAAGCGCCTTCGTAAGTTAGGGTATGGGGCCAAAATAACTAAAATTCAATTTCATAAATTTTAAAAATAAATAATATCTAATAGATAAGAAGATCCTATAAATTATTAGATTTCTTATTTTAATAAATTATATCCAGTAGATGAGAAGATTTTAACGCATGGACGAGGTTAAAATATAGCACATGATGAAAGTGAATAAATTGACTGAGTTATCACAACGAACACTATGTCATGTTACAAAAGATTTCTTCATCAAGAAAGGTGAATAAACTTAGAATTTTTTACGTCCAGCAATCAAACTTTATTTATTCGGGCGTAACACAATATCACTTAAAAGCAGATACTTAGAAAAATGAATGTGTGTGTGTGTGCACTTGCCATGAACTTTACTAAAATAAACAATTTTATCTTCTCATGATCTTTACTATTTTATGCTAAAACAGGAGATCGCCACTTGACCTCGAATGACCTGATCAAAAGAAAATCTGTCAGTTAATTAAAAAATGGGTTGCCATTTTGAGATTTAATCCTGGATGAATGGTGGCATATTTGAATAGCAATATAATCTGAATGAACTTTATTTTAAGTATTTTAGTTTTACTTATGCGTCATCATCTGGAAAAGTTCATTTTCTCATCTCTATTTTCAACATTTAATGTTTTCTAATTTTGAGAGACGAGACACGCGTTGAATGAAATATAATAGAAAAGTGATATTTGCATAGCAAACAAATATTCACATTTGATTAAGACATTCTATATAAAATGAATGCTTTTCATGGCTTACAAATCACTGAAGACACTGGTTATACCGTCACTTACT